TGGCAGGTCAGTCATATTGGTATTTTTGTAATTGTACTTCTGGAATTAACTTCTTGTTGCTGAGGGTCATGAGAGCCTGGCAGGAGCATAACTAACAATGGTGGTATTTTGCCACCATTGCCCCCTTCTCAGGTTCAAACTACTGGTCTTCAAGAGTGTCCAGGGAAGGAGATGGAACTTACAGGATATTGACATAACCCATAAAATGTAGGTGCAAAGAAAAGCCTCTTCATTCTTTAATTAAACTAATCTAAACCCCCTTCTCACATTAATATTGAGATTATATAGATTATATTATATAGAATAATGTAATTTATGAGATTAATGACTACTTTTTTGGTTACTACATTTTCTTTAGGACTGAGAGCAGGAAATTTCCTGGCATACCTGGCCAAATGAATCACTCATAAGTCGCTTTCTTTCTTCCCTAAAGCTTTCTTTCTTCCCTATGGATAAATCTTCATCCATCAAGAATAAAGAATGTCTTTCATAACTTTTCTCCTTGACAAAGGACAGTCTTTTCCCATTGACGGGGCTGGATTAGGGAGGAATTTACACATCTACATCTGACCAACATACATGAGAATCAGTATCTTGTGCTCTCCAGTGCACTGGTGGGGACAGAGTGCCGCATAGCTACTTTGCTCACTAAAAACGTTATGTGCCTAATTTCAAAATAGAACATAAAAGTATGCCCACCAAATGCCACATTTTTCACATGTACATCTGTCCCACACTCGTTAATGAAAACTGACCTTGCAAAATTATTTTATTTTAAAAAATCCACTTGTTTCATGAATGGCTTTAAAGTTGATTGATCTGCTACACTTGCAGTGTACAAAAAGGCCTTCACTGAGAACAAATTTCAGCAATGTAATAATACCAAGATGCAGCAGACTTAAGGCTGGTCCCATACTGGGACACCTGCCTTTGCTCAGGGGTTCTCAGGCGACCTGGGAGCCTGGTACATGTATTTCCTTTGGGGTTTCCAGTGACTTCACCCCAAAATAAACTTCAGCTTTGCAGAGAAAAAAYTACAAAAGCAAGTTCTTGAAAATGTAGCATTTCAAATGAAAACTAAAAACTATGAAGAACCTATAGATTTGATGGTTCTTTAATTAGGCTCCAGAAACACAGCTGCTCTCACCTCCATACAGGCATGACAGAAAACTGTGCTAAAAACTCACATGGTCCTGGTTGTGACCACTAGTTTTTTTAAGACCACTTTTCACTTCTGTATTCCCCAGGATCAACAGATCAGCAGGTGCCAAGGAGCACCATCTTGTCAGAGATGCAATAAAAAACTCAGGCTTGTTCATTTGCACCCAATAAAACTACAGTCCACGAACCAACCACACATTACTTTTGAGCGGAGCAGGTGCATTGACTTGTCATCTTTGCCACATGTTGAATGCAGCAAAAATTATTGTCCATTTTTTGCCTACATCAGATAATGTTTAGTTTCATATCTGATATAAATGTATTTCAGTCACATCTGAAGAGATACTTGTAGCTGCTAATCAGTGGCAAAGGTCCTACTGAACAGTTATGGGTACTGAAGAGTAGGACTTCTAAAACTTTCCATTTAAAGATCTTGATTTTGGCTTATTTAGACTAATATTTTCTTGTACTCATAAGCCTGCCTCGTGTTCCTGTTTCAGTTTTGGAGCTTCAGGTAGTCAATTTCTGAGAAAAAACTACTTCATGGTATGTTGTCCCACCATACATTTTCATGCTACTTAATTTGAGAGATTAGTGCTTCATCCTTTGGAACAAAACCCTGCAACCTCACAGGGAAGGCTCAATAGTCACTCTAGCACTGGTGACTGAAAAATCTGTCCAAATTTGGAGAAGTGAAAAGAGTTTGAAATGTCAGTCTGAGCAAACCACTGCAGGTGTGGTGGAAAACTCGATGCCAAATTCCATTTACCCAAAGCATGGCCAAGCCAAAACAAGAGTGGGAGCGTCTAAAACCAGGCTCCAAAACTGCCCCGGGCAGTTGCTTCTGGAGAGCTCTGCAGCTGAGCATCAAGGGTATCCTGTCTGATAGGGCTGTCACAGCAGGCAGTAGAGAGGGCATCAGTGGAGAGATAAGAGGAATTTTACTGGAAGAGCGAGAGGAGATCAAGTAGAGATTTAATTTCTTCAAGAAAACAGAACATACAAAGGATTGTGGGACATGAAGCTCAGGTGAGAAGAGGTGTGCCAAAAAGACTGAGGGGCTATCTGAACCATAGACACAGTGGAGGCAGTCTTACAGCGCAGAAATCTTAGCACCAATCTTTGTAGATTGCTAAACCACAGCTAAAACCTAAACGTAAGAAATTAGAGACCAAGCTTTCTCTTATTAGAAGAATGTCAGGGTCACAAAACTTTGTTTTAGTGTGTAGTAACTGAAAGAATGCCAGATAGAGGGTGGCACTTACATACAAGGAATGTAACAACTACAACTTGTGTTTTACTGTAACAGGTGATTATGATTCGAGCAGAGATCTCAGAATTACCTTAGGTAACTTTTATATAACTTTTCAGGTGAATTGGTCCCCTGAATTAAAATTCTGGTACAGGRAATTCAAATTCTGGTACATTTCTCACTCTTAACTGTGAATTCCATAGTGGAAAGAGTGTAAAATACCTCTTCAAAAATTACGAAAAGCACAAAAAAGCCCTAAGCATGCAATTTTTGGTGCTGTAGAGGGTACACCCATTGTTTAAAAAATAAATCCCAGTCGGTGAATCAGAAAAAGTGACTAAGAGCTGCTGGGCACTATGGATCTGTCCTGAATACGAGACAGTATGCAGCAGCCCTGTCCAGGAACATGCTAGGAGCCAGGCTCCTGCTCACCACCTTTGCTGTAAAGGCGGAGGGAGAGAGCACACTGTAGCAGTCTTTTTCTGCACAACCCACTTTCCACAGCAACCCAGCCATGCTCTCTGCCTCTTTGGGAGCAGCTGAGTCAARGTTCAGCTCTCTCCTTGCTCTAGCCAAGATTCAGCTCTTTTCTCCAGCTCACACCCCCACTGCCCAACAGTGTCCTACTGCCCTGTACTCCAGCACATGGACATCAGGGCAGAAAAGCTTCCCAAGGAGAACTGGGGAAAGCCCTAAGGAACCTGCTCTGCTCCCAGTGCTGATCCTGCTTGAGCTGGAGATTAGACCAGAGAAGTCTCAACACCTCATTTTTACAGGCATATCTTGGGCAACTGGTGTCTGGATCCCTAACACACAAAAAAGTAAAGCAGACCAAAAGAGTATGTAAGTGCCTGCAAAACTGTCATCACAGCGAAGATTTAATCGCAAATCTTTATTTGACTTGGTGGTTGGAATATGACAGCACCCTGATGGTCAAAACTGCATTTCATTTTGGTCATTGCTCTTCAACATTAGTTACCAATTCCACTGCTGCTCCACGTGCCAGAGCTGAACTACAGTGCCAGCTCTGTGGAAAAAGAGGGAACTTGTACTACTTTCTACCTGACTAGGATCAGATCTACTATGATGGAAAAGAAGATGGTCTGGCAACCAACGAACAGTGACACATTTAGATCAGCTTACATTCCCTCCCTTCTCATTAACAAAAGCTGAAAGAAGAGGCCTAGGAACACACACTGCAGCTACACAGGTCAGCATGAAAAATAAATACAAAAACAAGGACAAAAATGCCAGAGATAGAAAAGCATAAGAACAAGAGAACATAATCAGAATCAACAGCCATTTCTACACATTTCACTATGCTGTCAGATAAGTAATTTCATTAAAGGGCAACTGCATCAGTGTCTCACCAGAGTATTATAAATAGCACTTAAATTATGGCAGTGCATAAACCCAAGACATTAGTATTCCATCCACCTTAAATAAAAAGTTTTGACTCCAYCAATTTTAATACCCAGCTGCTTTAAGAAGTTGGCTACAGTATCATGGCATTCTGCCCAGGTTCTTTGCTCAATCAAGCAATAGTTGTCTTTGACCAAAAAAGAAAAAATAAGCCAACAGTACCCTTGCTGAATGTCTATTGGTATCTACTATCAATATAGGAATTAGTGAATTAAATGTAAAGCTGTTTAGTACTTTGGGTAACCATAATATAGCAAAATTAGTAATTTTAGTTATTCATTATTGAAGCTACCCAGTTTAGATGAATTTTGCAAAAAACGACCATGCATTTTTTATCTATTACTAATTGTATGTACATAAGAACTAATGTGCTGTAGATGTAGTCTGAAAACCTGCATCATTTACCTCTGTGTTACACAATACCAGCATGTCACGTGCCCTAGGCAAGGTCACCAAACTCCGAACAATGCTGCAGAATGTGGCAGACTAATCCATCTTTACAAATTAGACTTCATTATACATGATCCTGCTCATCAATCTTGAGGTATTGTTTTCCAGTTTTGCACTTGCATGTACCCTCTAGATCTCCTAATTCACAGATTGTTTTACAAACACAAATTGGATATATATTTATGTGAATAAAGTGACCGTACTACTGCCATAACAGGGCTCTAAATGAGACCCGACCTACTGGAGCACCTGCCCTGCTCTGCGTCCTTCTGGTCCCCACCTGGGGGTGGAGAGGCTCCAGGAGGACGGTTTTCCACAGCAGGTAGGTGACCTGAAGCTATAAAAGCGTCTGAAACGAAACAGACCATTTTTCTTCGGGAGTTGTGGTACTTCACATACGCAAACCCTATGAAGAACCAGCCCGGTTGGCTAGACTTAGAAAACTGACCACAGAAGCAGGTGAGCCTGCTTCCCGCAGGCAAAACCAACCCTCTTCGTTTCGGAGATGCTCAGAAGATGCCTCCGACACGGAGCGACCGCCAGGTTCAGCCCCGAGCCCGACTGCTTGTGTGACACCCCCGCGCTGCCCGCAGCACCCGGGCAGGTGCTGCCTGCACGGGCTGGGGGGTCCGACCTGTCCGCACCCTTATCCTACCCGCAGCCCGACCGACCGGACACTGCCGACCGCATCCATCCCGGAGCACCCCGTCCCGTCCGGGCCAACGTCGCGGGCTCTCCTCGCTCCGGCGGCGGCAGCGGAGCTGGTGCCCCCCAGACGTCCCCCCGAAGCGGGACCCCTCCGTACCGCMGGGGCCGGGACGTCCCCCGGGCCGTCCCCTCGGGCAGGTAGCGGCGACCGCGGCGCGGCGGGGACTGACCTGCGAGCCTCCGCTCCCGGACATTCCTCCATAGCAAGTCCCAGGCTTTGGCGGTGGAGTCCCGCAGCTGCTCGCTCAGCGACCTCCGGAGCTGCGCCTTGGCCGGGCGGCGCTGGCTGCTCATCCTCGGCGTCTCCACATGCCGCCCCGGGCAGCCCCGCTCAGCGCCGGCGGCCGCTCTCCTCGCCGGGGACGGGCGGCGGCGGCCACATGGGGCCGCGGGGCAGCCCCGCCGCGCCGCAGCCGCGTCACCGCTGCCCCGGGCGGGCGGCCCTTCCTTTACCTGAGCGCCGCCCGCCCCGGCCCCGGGGCAGCGCTGCCGCCGCCAGCCTCCCTCCCTCGCCGCCCTCCGCCCTCCTTTCCCTCCCCCGTGCTTCGTCCCCCGCGGCGCGGGGAAGGTGCCCCGGGCTCTGGCTCGGCTCCCGCCCTGACCGGGACCCCGCGCCCCTCGGGCTCAGGCACCACCGACGGCCCGGGACCCCGCACGTCCCGCGGTCCCGTGCCTAAATTCCGTGGCTTCGCTTGTGCCCGCCGCCCTCATTTGGGAACTGTCTGGMCAAGCCCCCGCGGCTGCCCTGCTGTCAGGTCACAGCCGCCTCCCGCTGCCGCCTCTGTGCTCCCTGGACAGCGACCGGGAGCCGCCCGCTGCCACCCCAGCCGTGCCGCCCGATGCTGCTCCAGGCAGAGGTCACCAGCCACGAGGTGACAGAAAACCTGGCTGGCAACGGGCTGCCTCTTTTTGGAGGCTGTAATAGGTGCTTCGCCCATGCTTCAACTTTTGCGGAAAGAAAATTAGGGTGTTTTTTTTTTTTTTTTGGGTTTTTTTTTTTTCAGAGGCCTAGGGTTATCAGCTCTCCACCCAAGATCAAGCTGTAATTCTCGCAACACAGCCTCTCCTGTTTCTTTCCCACTTTCTCTGCATTCCACCCACTTACTCCCCACCTCCTTCCCCCTGCATGATTTCTTCTCTTACATGCTCTTGTGCTCCTAAAAGGTTTCAAAACTAAACCCTGGCAGACACTTTTTGCACACATTTAGAGACTAAAATGAATCCTGATTTCTCCATCTGTAGACTAGTCAGAAAGCAATAGCTGGGCCCTTATCCCATTTAGGAAAGCCATTTTGTGTCTCTGCTTCCTCTGTGCTCTGAGAAATGCTGTTTTAGCAGTGGCCTCTTCCCTATCCTGGATGCTTCCCCAGCAGAGTCTGATAGCTGAAAAGGACCAACAGGGGCTTCATTTCATTTAGTCACAATCAATTACTTACTGCTTACTCTTTTGGCAGAGTACTTGCGATGTGCAAAGAAGAGGCTAATGTTCCTGCAAACGAGTGCCCTACACTGAAAGAGCTGAATGTCCTGGCAAAGCAGTCATGTTAAACATTATTGATATCCCCATCTTGTTTAAATTAAAACTGTAACTGCAATGTCAGCAATACCCATAGAAGCTAAAAGCAAACAGACAGATGTACTCGATGTTACCACTGTTTTAATAACATCTTCTGCTTACTTTGTGATGTGAATTTGTTTTCCTTTGTCCCTGTTCTTAAAAGGTTCATCTGAAAGGGTTATTCTTAAACTATGCTACTTTAGCTGATACAGTGGAGATGATGTGCTTGTGCAGAACTTGTGCAGATATTGTGTATCACTCCTCTGCCTGCAATTCCAGCTGCAGTGTCCTCCAAATGACTGAATACTCGTTTGAGAAAAGGGATGCCTTCCAGGGATGGATGCATTCACGATCTGGAAGGGAGACAGTGTAATTATGTAAATACTCCCATCCCATGATCCAGAGCAAACACGTGCTGATGTTAATGGGAGAAGAGAGGATTACAGTTCCTACAATCAGCTCCTCTGCCCAGTAAATCTGCCTCTGACCTCTGCTTCTCTTTATTTAATCTCTTACCAAGACAGCCATTACCGCTACATAAAACCTACTATGCCTGCTTTTTGCCACAGGCTTTTATCAGCTAGGAACCAGGCAGAGATGGGAAATTAATTTCTGGTATTGTACTCTGCTGCCCTATAAAGATGAGCCGTGACACACAGTCTAAAGGTGAAATTATAAACTCAGTTTTGAAGGTTTTGTGTCATACTGCTGCATCACCACCCACAATCACCAGCCTACTGCAGCCAGTACTGCAACTTTCAGCAGTGCTCTTCTGGCAGCCACACTTGGATCTTAGCATGCCCAGCCTGTCTGGAAGATAGATCTCCCTTTCTTCTGTCACTATCTTCGATGGCCAGAATGTAGCAATAGAACAAAACATATTATCTTTCCTTCTGTACCATTTTTTAAGATGTCACTTTATCACGAATATCTCTAGACTTGCAGGTTTACTGAAAGCAGCTRGTTAGTGACTAGATACTAGCAATTGCTAATCCCATGTTATCTGACCACAGGTTACTAGGATAAACTGCAGTGATATGGCTGTATTTCATAACACAGAACTGAACTGGCAAGCCTAGACCAAATTCTGTGGCAGGCACTGACAAAAATCTTACTAATTTCAGGTACTTTATTGTGGAAGACTAATTCCAGAGGCAAGATCAGATACTGTAGATTTCTCCCCAAAGAAAACAGTGCTATTGAGTAATGAGAACACATGTCATGCAGCAACTGGCCCACTCCTATTTTATGCTTTTAATCACAGTCAGCTGTTCAGAAGTCAAATTACCATCATGAGTATTTTTGATGCATTACACCTTGTAGTAGCAGTTACAATAAGAGCTATTATATAGAATATACTTGAAGGAGGGAACATGTTAGGAATCATTCATAGGTCATTCAAGGCGCTTCRTTTCCTTTTAGAATGTTAGCAAACCTGACAAAATGGTGAAGTTCTGGACCCTCACAACATTTTTCATGTGTTGGTTAAGTGTATAAGTGGCCACCTGATCAGGGCTCTTGTTTACCACTTGAAACATTTTGACATCCAGYACAAGATGGCTAACGTTTCTGGAGGAAAGAAAAGGAAAGCCCATTTTCCACAGAAAATGCAGTTTTCCTGCTTGATACTAGTCTTGCCAAAATGGTTCTTTTCAGAGTAATTGCAATGAAACCACTGTGTATGGTGAACAGAAAGGAGGAAGTTTCCAGTTGCCTTGAAGCTGAACTATTATGTTTGTCTTTTCTCATTGATAACAGAACATTGGCAGGAATGAAAGGAGTGACTTAAAATCTTGCAAGCCTGTAAAATGTTGCGGAAAAATCTAAACTAATTATACCCATGCTCTGATGCCATTGTGGCACAGAAGTCTGATACACTAATTATATATTTTGCAATTTATAGTTCCTGCCAATCACCATGGCAATTAAATGCCAAGTTAATTGATACGGCTTAGTGTTCTGGCCTTTAATTAACAGTGTGTTTCTAATTTGCTACAGATTCCATTATGCAGCCTGATCTAGTCAGTAAAGCAACTGTACAAACTCCAATGCTCCAGGTAAGAGAATCAGACCTAAGGAAAAAGAAATGTGACTGTCTTGGCTTGCCATTTGTAAACTACTGAAAGGCTATGATAAAAGTACTGCTTCTTTCCTTTCCATCCTCTCATCCTCAATTATCATAAGTCAGGATTTTTTGTTAGTTTAATCACCTCACAATATTTGTCTACTTATGGAAGAACAAAACAAGATACATCTTGTCGAGGAAAATGTGAGAAAAGCACATCCTTGATTACTACGTGCTGTTCAGAGGACATATGCTCCATTCCCTAGTATCCCTTTGAAAGTAAAGCAAAAGAGGAAATAATAGGATCTACAAGATCAATGATGCAGTCTGATGCTACTCAGTACAATGTCAAATTTTATAATGAATTTAATTATTCAGGAAGTGACTGTAATGAAGCTTCTTGAAATTTAGTATACTGAAAGTGGTGTTGCTTCTATAGCTTCAAATAGTAGCTCAGACAGCCTAGATATAAACACATCAAGTAATATTTATAACTTTGGCAGTGGTCTTTATCTCTTTAGGAATCCTAGAGCTCTGGAATTTGCTTTCTATCACAGGCTAAATGGTCTGACTGTTATGTTGTAAGTCTGGGTTACCACTGAAAGGGAAGAAAAGATTTGAGTTTTTCCATTGCTTCTTTTCCTGATAGCAGTCTCCAGTGAATTTCATACTAATTCTGTGGTTGAAGTTATGTGAAAAGCACCAAGGGCATATATTAATAGGTGTCCTCTTTGACATCTAAGTCAACAAACAAATATTTTGGATAGAGAAAAATAACAATCACTGTGAATGCGGACAAAATATTCTAGCTTTTACCCTGTCACTCTCTCCTTGCTTTTTATTTACATATACAAATTATCATTACTTTAAGGTAGGTTTAATGAGAATCAGTAATAAATTAGTTTCACTCTTTTCTGGTTTATCAAGAGATTGGGACCTGTATGTTCACCCTACTTCATTTTAGCTTTCTGAAGCTCTGGGAAAGGATCTCCACACTTTGCCAACGGCAGAGCACTGCTGGCTTTCATTAGTGGGAGCCAAATTCTTTCACTTTTGTTCACAGTGATTAATGCTGAAATAAATGGAACTTCTTGCAGTATTCACTGTGAAAAGGCTCTAAGGATGCTCAGATACAGACTACAGCAACAAAGTGCCTGCTGTTTGACTGTGCTCCCTCTTCCTTGCTAGAAGAGGAATGGAGGGCATGGGGGGAAATTAAGCTTTTCTTCTATTCATACAGAGSATGATACTTTATTGTTATTATTAATAACAAACTGTATTCTCAAAGTGCTTTGAACCAGAAAYTGGATGGAGCAGAAGTACAATCTTTGCCCTCAGGAGAATGCAACCTAAGTATAAAACAAGACACTAGTGGAGAGAAAGACCTAATTGGGTTGGGAAGGGTGGAGTACGACAATACAATAAAACAGTACTGGCCAGAGCAGCACCAACTGGTGTCCTTCTGGCACACCAGAATTGGTGCTTGGAGGCACTGATGAAAAGTGTGTTAGTAAGAGAGTCTCCAAGGAGGTTAATGTGGGATCTTTATACATTCAGAGGGCCAACTTCCAAGAATGAGGGGCACTTTTAACAAAAGCACCCAAACATGTATTTGAAAATGTAATGAGTAGACAACAAAAGCTGGCAACCTGTACACATAGGCTGTGGGAAGAAAGCTTTTAGTATTGAACAAATGATAGATGAGGCAAGGGAAGGGCTTGCAGACTTCAGTCAAGCAGCTTCTACTCAATGCTCCATAATGGCAGGATGAACTGCAATGAGCAGCAACAGCAGAGAACTGCCAGGTATTTGCATTTGGGATGCAATGCAGTAGACCAGATTGTGTCAATCAATGCAGAGTATGTGAGAACAAAAGTAAAATGGTAAACATGGGCTGAATTTTTTTCTACAGTAACCACAAATTTTCACCTGGAAACCTCCTCCTGACAAAACCCATTATGTCTTATAGAATAAAAATTAGAGAAATCATATGTTTTTCTGGAAAATAACTGCTATTCTCCTGGGTTTAACACAGAAGAATTTTCACATTCTGA